TGGGGCTTCTCCTTTGCCCTTGGATGTGGGGTATCTTTCTTTGGTGGGATCCAACATTCTCCTGTCAGTGGTTGTTCAGCAGCAAGTTGTTATTTTGGAGTTCTCACAGAAGTTGAGTGCACACATCCTTCTACCTCACCATCTTGCCAGCACAAAACTTGTCTTTCCCATTCTATTGTTTTCCTCTATTATAGATTCTCTTTGCGTTGATCACCAAGGAAGTCTTTCTTATCTCTCCTTGCTATTCTTTGGAACTCTTCATTCAAAAGGGTATATTGTTCCTTTTCTCCTTTGCCTTTCACTTCTCTTCTTTTCTCAGCTATTTGTAAGCCCTCCTCAGACAGCCATTTTGCCTTTTTGCATTTCCTTTACTTGAGGATGGTCTTGACCACTGCCTCCTGTATGATGTCACGAACCTCCGTCCATAGTACTTTAGGCACTCTGTCTATCAGATCTAATCCCTTGAATCTATTTGTCCAACACACAACTACATGTAAAATAGATAACTAACAAGGACCCACTGTGTAGCACAGGGAACTCTACTCAGCATTCTGTAATAACCTATATGAGAAAAGAAACTGAAGAAGATTGGATAAATGTATATGTATAACTGAATCTCTTCACTGTACACTTGAAACTAACACAACATTGTAAATGAGTTATACTCCAATAAAAATATTTAAAAGATCAATAAAGTACTTTTAAACCTTGAAAGTCTGAAAATTATATTAAATCTGTTCCTTAACTTTAGGTTAACTTGATGATAATCAAAAACATATAGGGTGTTACTAGATAATAATCCAGTAAAACAAGCTATAGAATAATGAAATACATTAAGAAAAATAATAATAATATTATTAACAGCAACTACGATTGTTGTACCAACTGCAGATCGAGTGCTTTACATCAGTGTCTCCTCTAATCTTTATGCAGTCTGATGAAACAGTTATTATTACATTCATTCTTCAGATGAAGAAACTGAAGCTTAGATAAATAACATATGTTATATGTGGGGCCACAGCTGGTTGGCAATGACACTAAGACTCAATCTCAAACTGCCTTGATTCCAGGGTCAAGTCCTTCTGCACCTCACAGCATTGTCCTTCTAATGTATAGAAATATAAAGAACAGAAATATGCAAAATCATTGTTAAACTGTTTGTCTTTAAAAAAGGAGTAACAATATAAGTGATAAGAGTCAGAGACGTGAAGTTTCTTGAACACACACTCATTCATCTGAAATGAGGTGTCAATATGATTCCACTTATCATCCTTAAGGCTACTTCCCCAACTTTTATGCAGATGCTCATCATTCCTAGAGACAAAATAAATTTGCCTCTAGTAACTCCCATGTTATTCCAGAAAATTTTCTGGTAAAGTTTTAGTTGTTTTGACAGAAATGTGTTGATTCATATGTACCTGAGTTTCTCTCTAAGGGTAGAGATCTTTGCTATCCCCATTACATGTGAGTCTTGTGTCCCCTCAGTCATACTTGAGTTTAGTCTGGTCAACCAGTTGGCCCTCAGTAATTGGTCAACCAGTTGGTCAACCAGTAATTACCCTCTATCATAATTTGATCCTACTATACATGAATGAGGAGTCTCTAATTTAAATACTTCAAGAGGAGACCAAGCATAGTTCAAGAGGGCAGACCTGCCTGAAGGCTTTGGAAAATAAAAAAGACTTTCAGTGAATATGTGTGTCCAGTTATTAGGCTGGACATAGATTCAGATGAGCAGGATTATACAAAGAAAACCCTAAAGATACCACCAGAATATTACTAGTGCTAATCAATGAATTGAGTAGAGTTGTAGGATACAAAACTAATACAAATCCCTTGTATTATACATAGAAGACCCTAAAGATGTCACCAGATGAGAAGTGGGGAATACCAACATTGTGTGTGGTTGTTAGCACCATCAAGAGATGCTAACCTTTAGTTGTACAACCCTTTTAAAGAAGTTATTCAGTCTCAACCACTTCTGTGGAATATACCCCCTTGAAATTCAAATAGTTTATATCTGGCTGGGCAGGTTAAACTAGATATAAAATTGAAATTCAATAGTGATGGTCAGAGGTTTCAAATCTTGGTCACTGACTATTGGTCATGGAAATCCGGTATCACATTAAGAGCTTTAGTCTAGGAAGCCTGAGAATGTAGGTTCATATTCTGACTCTATCTGTGAATCTGTTTCTTTTAGATATAAGTGAATACACTAGCCTAGATTATTTTGAGACCTCTTTCAGTGTCTTAGATCCTTTTTTTCCTGCCCAAAGCCTAGATGACCTAGTTTAAGAAAAAAATCATCTGCCTCCAGAATAGCCCCTCACCAGAATATCAGTTCCACAGAGGAGGGTGTCTGACTACTTTCCCTTGCCTTCATCCCCTCCCTGGAATGGCACCTTGCATAAAGTCATCCAAATTTCTGAACCTAAGACACTGCCGATTGAAAGTCACTACTGTTCTAAAAGAAAGAAAACTGCTTCCAGTTAATTATAAAATGCCATCGATTAAAGGATACTTTGTAATATTAGATATATTACAATGTGGGGGGAAATTCACCTTAGAATTAGTGAAAGTTTTTCATCTACTCCTGTTCTTGCATTCTCCTTTCCACCTTCTAAACAAACTATTTAAAAAAATACATTTAATTCTTATGGCCCTGTTCATCTCCCTTAGAAATATTTTCAGTGGTTTTTTTTTTTTTTTTTGGCTTTGTTTTTGTAGTAAAGGTCCCTTATGCTCAGTGTAGTGATGTTGGATTTGTGTTGACCTTATCTTATGGCCTGTGGCTGTCTCCTGTTTCTGGCTAGTTTTTAGGCAAATTTCTGGGAGCCCCTGCAGGATGGGCATCATGGAAATACAGATCTCATACCAACCAGTATGTGGCTAATTTTCCAACAGGCGGTCCTTTTTCCACTGACAGCCTTGGGTGGATACCAGAGTTCTTGTAATTTCCTGAACCGACGGATTGAATAATGTCATCTCTACCTCTCTACTTAGCTCAGTCCAGGCTCCTGGGGTACCAGCCTGATATAGCACCCACTTCCTGCTCTCTCCCCACCATGAACCCCAGGAATGACTTCAGAGTCTTTTAAACCTAAGCCAGATTTGGCAAATGATTTACAAAAGCAGTAAATCCTTCCAAGTTCTTTCTTTTCTGTATCACAACACTCCCAGCCACAAGTCATTATGTCCATAAAATTCAAGTGGACATTTTTTACTCTTTTTCAGAATTATCAAATGTATTTTCCTGCTCTTGTATCTTGTTTTCTCTGGGTGTCATAGAATATCAAAATATCCTTTTATGAGTCACAGATCTTCCTGAGATGTTTGAGGCTTTTAATTTTTAGGGTTATTTTATATACTAGGATAGAAATAATCATTGGCGTAAGAAAAGCTTGTAAGGGTTAAGCATGTAAAAACCATGCTAACAATGATTTACTGTGTAACACAAGAACAGTATTTTATATCTATAATGACCTGTAATGGAAAATAATCAGTATATATATATATATATATATATATATATATATGTATACATGACTGAGTCACTTTGCTGTAACCTGAAATGCAATGTTTTAAACCAACTATATTCAATAAAAAGTCATGCTCGGTGCAGGAGAAATAACAAGACATCCTCCTGAACCTTGACTAGATAAGAGTTCAGTGAGGGTTTAATTTGAAAAAAGTTACTTTTTAAAACATTCCCGTTTTCATTTAGCTTCCTTCTCGTCTAAAAGTGCTTCTGTTCTACCCAAGATTACAGAGGAGGCCTGACCCCTTGGTGTTAAGTTAGCTTCATGAATTTTCCTTTTGTCTTTCCCACAGCTGAGCAAGAGGAGGAAGCTCACCCTGAATACAAGTATGGAAATGAACTTTCTGCAGATGACTTGGGTCACAAGGAAGCTATTGCCAATAGTGTCAAGAAGGTCAGAGTCTTGGTGCTCTTTGTTTTCATGACTTCCAAGAGATGGCAGCTGGTATGCCATTTCAGAAATGTGAGCGCCACAAGAGAATAAGGTAGCCTGTAATTCCCCTNGCAAAAATAACCAAATGGGACCTAATGAAACTTCAAAGCTTTTGCACAACAAAGGAAACTATAAGCAAGGTGAAAAAACCTATGTCTCTTATGTCTCCTCTATTGGCAGGGAGATTCACCACTTGCACCACCTGGGATGGAATATAGTGTTGTTAACTCTCGTCACCATGCTGTCCGTGACATCCCCAGGGCTTACTCATCTTATAACTGGAAGTTCATACCCTTTGACATCTCATTCCCCAACCCCCACTGGGGCCTGGCAAAGTGGTTGATTTTTAATACTAGTGAGTGATAGAGTAAGAAGACGCAGAATGTCCACTGGATCGCTAGCCTGGGAGTCATGGTGACCTTGAAAAGAGGAGTTTCGGGGCAGTTAGGGACCCCTTGGACAGACACATCTGAATGAGGAGAAGCAATACTTTTGAGCAGTTTTGCTGTGAAGGGGAGCTGGTGGTTAAAGGGAACCCAGGAGTCCAGAGAGAGTTAATTTTAGGATAAATAAATCCAGGGTGATGACTGAATCCTTTGACATGGTCTTTGATGGGAGCAATAGTACTTAATCATTAAAGACAATGGATGAAGATGCAGGTAGGTGTATACAGTAGGTGCTAAGAAAACGGGAGCAAATTTATCTGCTGAGCAAAACCAGGAGAATACTACCATTACGCTTACCTTTTCTGATATAGAGGATTGCAGCTACTTTCAGATTATTAGATGCCTACTAAAACTCACTATCCTGCCTTTATCAGCACCCAGACATGAGTGTTGACTTGCTCAAGAGTGATTCTTTACATACCAGAGGAGGTGGTCCCATCGATTATTTCCCAAGCCCCATCACTAGACCACTAACTAAATTACCCTAAGAAAGCACTGAAATAGGTGAAGACTATCAGCCAAAATGGGGATAAGCATTATGATGAGCTTTTCTGGTGTGGAAGAGTTACACCATGATATCCTGTCAGTTCTCACTGTATCTGTGGCTTTATGTTACCAGTAATGTCCTATCTTAACAGATAAATAGAACAGCAGGCGTACAGAGAACTATCTAACATATTTGAACATCCACAGGTGTGGGGCTAGTAAACTTGAAGTTTCACCCTTTAGAGAAGTAAATTATTTTCTTTCTCTAATTTAGGCTTCAGATGACCTTGAACATGAAAACAGCAAAAAGGTAACAGAACAATTCCATTGTGCATTTTGTTTTCATTATGAGAAACTATGTGGTCATTCAATATTGAATAGGTTTTACTAAGTGCTGTTTATTCTGTCTTCTCCCACCCACTGCCCATGAAATATCAGACTATTTATAGGGATAATATGTACATGCTCAGTGCATCTACTTGTAAGAGTCTTCAAAAGAAAAAATTAACCATGTGACGAAATGATTATATTCTGATATAATCACAAAACCTAGGGCAGACAAATAAGATGATTTTTCTAAAAATAAGTGTTTAGGCATTTAGGTATTTTCTTAGTTAGCATTTGAGATTTCATTCCTAGACAATGGACAAAAGCATGTATAATTCTTCTACTGTATGTTTATTGATAATTAGTAATGCCAGTACTATAAGCTGGGTACCAGGCTGATTCCCTGGATGACAACCTCATTACTGTCAGTCATCATGTGTATCAAGGATTACAGTCTGACCCACTAACTGCATGAGAAGGCTGAGGCCTTAAAGATGAACATAACTTGTCACAGCCGCTTAACAAATATCAATGATCAAAGATCAGCTTATCTTTGTTGACCCCAATATCGTAAGAAATTCTAGTAGAAGAGAATTTCACAAATATCTTAGGAGACGACTGGGATCAGACTTAACCAGAATTATTCCAAACTTTAGACAGTAAGAATATTGGGTTTTCCTTCAAATAAGATAGGACCCCATAGACAAGAAGATAACCCTTTCTGAAGCCCTGATGTGGGAATCAAATGATAAAGTAAATTTCTGCCTCTGGCTGCCAACAGTTTCAAAACTGCAACACGCCGTGTACTTTTTATTAAAAGGACCACTTTGATCATGAGCTGTGAAGAAGATATAACAAACTAAAAATATTACTTTACTTTCCTTACGATAAAGTCACCATTAAGTAATGTCAAATAAAACTCCTAGAATGGATACAATGTGAAATTGACTAATAGCCTTTCAGAACACCAATATAGTTGGAACAAAGACCTTTCCGTTTTGCTATCATATGAATTCCCTGACCTATGGTCATTTTTATTTTCAGATTAAATGATTATATGCTCCTAGTCTGTGAATGAACTTTCAAATTTTAACTGGGGACATTTGAAAACATGATTTTTAAAAATCTCAACAAGTTACATTATTTGGTTATTTATTGGCTTTTACTGGTGAGATCAGTTTGATGGTCTAAAATGTTATCAGGCAAACAAACTGGCCTGGCCATTTTTTTCAACCAATGAATTGACTGATGCGAGTCAACAGTTTATTCATCCTTGAGTATTGATCTCAACTAAATATTGATCACTTCTGAAGGTGTTATTTTTGCTGTTGTTGGTTTGTTGCTTTTGTCCTGATTTACAAGGAAACAAACTAAAATAATGTGTTTCTCTTTGCCTGTATGCAAAGTAATACAATTTTAATAGGTGCTGTGTAGTGGATTATCACATTAGTTTAAGAATAAGCTTTTTTTTAAAAATACCACAAACCATTTATGTATGTGACTTGGTTTCCAAAAGTGTTAAGTAGGTATGGTCCCCAGACCAGCCACTTGGGAGCTAGTTAGAAATGCCAGTTCTCAGGTTTCACAGCAGACTCCCTTTTTCAGAAACTCTGAGGGCGAGGCCCTGGAATCTGATTTAACAAGCTTATCTGTACACTAAAATTGAAGGATCTCTGTTTTTTAATTTATTTCACAACTTGTGAAATTATGAATTATAATACCTTTTATACATATTCCATAGTATTGCTCTGAACTTCAATATAGTTTCTAGAATAAAGTCCTTTGAAAATCTAAAACAATGTCCCCAAAGTGTAAGGTAAGCTTCATATTTTACTATTATCTCTATTTGTATTATTTGGAGCCACAATAGACATTAACTTTTTTTTTTTTTGACCACGCCTCAAGGCATGTGAATTCTTAGTTCCCTGACCAAGGATGGAACCCATGATCCTTGTGTTAGGAGCATGGAGTCACTGGACTGCCAGGGAAGTCCTGACATTAACTTTTAAAATTATCTTATGTTGGGACTTCCCCGGCAGTCCAGTGGTTAAGACCCCACACTTCCCAAGTACCGAGTGTGGGTTCGATCCCCGGTCAGGGAGCTAAGATGCCACATGCCTTGTGGCCAAAATACCAAAACATAAAACAGAGGCAATATTGTAACAAATTCGTTAAAGACTTTAAAAATGGCCCACATCAAGAAAATCTTTAAATAAATTAAAAGCTCCTTTTTAAAAATTATGTTTTATTTAACATAATTGAGGAAGAGAAAAATCTTTTATCTTTGGATCTGTGTGCAGATTGTCTCTAGTAAGGAAGTTTGTAGGGGCTTCCCAGGTGGCTCAGTGGTAGAGAATCCACCTGCCCGTGCAGAAAACCCAGGAGACTTGGATTTGATCCCTGGGTCAGGAGAATCCCCTGGAGGAGGATTTGGTAACCCAGTCCAGTATTCTGGCTTGGAGAATGCCGTAGGCAGAGGAGCCTGGCAAGCTACAGTCCACGGGATCACAGTCAGGCGTGACTGAGCACCTGAGCACACACTCACGCAAGGCAGTTTGTGGCCTAAATCTGAGAGTCCTGACGTCTCTGACGTGTGTATTCCCTTTGTTGTGCTCGTAGGGCCTGGTTACCGTAGAAGATGAGCAGGCGTGGATGGCATCTTATAAATATGTGGGTGCTACCACTAATATCCATCCGTATTTGTCCACAATGATCAACTATGCACAACCTGTAAAGTTTCAAGGTTTCCATGTGGCTGAAGGTAACACCAAAGGTTAAATGCTGTTGCCTTTTCTGTCTGCTTTTCTTTCATCGTGCTGTGATCTGACTTGCTGCCATTCCCTTTCCTGGGCACGTGGACTGTTGCATTTCACCTTACTTTTGTTGCACAGACCACACAGGTCCTTGGCTCGTGGGGGCCTTGTGTTGTCATTTCCAGCATCGTCCACAAGGTGGCTCTGAGAGACTGGATTTGGGAGCACTCCAAGCACAGAACCTCTTGCATTAGATACACTTTGTAAGACCCGTTTGAGTCAAAACCTGGTCTCTTAAAAACATAGCAAGTGATATTTTAAAACTTCGTATAATTATTTCTGGACTGGAGAAGAGATAGTCCTCACTGAAAATACATGTCCCAGGAGTGGCTGTGAATGTCAGTTGCTATACACATAACTGACTCAAAATTTAATTCATCACTTTTCTTAAGTCAGCCATCTCCATCATCAGAACATTAATGAAAGCAGGAGCTACTGATATCATGATGGAGCATCTGCCTCCAAAGCCTCATGATTCAAAGTGTAATTATATTTATCACTTGTCTTTTGTGAGTCTGATGGCAGAGTTTCTAAGTGCATCTTTGCTTTTCTTTACAGAACGCAATATTCATTATAACATGTCTTCTTTTAATGAGTCGGTCGGTCTAGGCTACTTGAAGACACACGCCATTGAATTTGTGAAGTATCCTTATGTATTAAGTGGACTAAATGGTTGGTGAACTTTGAGTTTGGCAGGAATCTCTAAAACAGAAAGATGGCTAATATATTATTGTGGTTATAGAGCTAGTAATATAAAGTGTGTGAAAGACCGCAGCAGCAGGGAAAACCTGCCCAAATGCGAATTGTTTTTATAATCCACACCATGAACTATGGTTTTTCTCCTTAGTGTCCTTTATACATGTGAAATCCGTTCTGTGTTGTCACATGTTTTTGTCAGTGTTGATCTCAATCTTCATTGCTTTAGCTCTTTGTTATTTATTTATCACTGCTGGGATCCTCTTTTCCATTTTCCTTAATACATTACACAGTTATAACAAACGGCAAATGAGTCGCATTTACCCCAAGGGAGGCCGAGTCGATTCCAGTAATTACATGCCTCAGATTTTCTGGAACGCTGGCTGCCAGATGGTTTCGCTGAACTATCAAACCCCAGGTAGGAACTGATGTCCAGTGACCTCGAATTCCATGAGAATATTTTGACAGGACGGTGCCAAGAGTTGCTGTCAGTTGACTGTGGGCATTTTTCAAAGGAAGCAGACATATGGCGAAACAACATGTTGTTGGATGTATAGAATGGTGAGAAATTGAAAGCGCAAAGTAGAGCAATAAAACAATGGTAGAAGATAATAGAGTTTGATTTCAATTGAATTTCCTTTTGAAAATGCCGTGACTAATCTGCTAAACATTGTCTTTCCAAAACATGTCTAGTTTTTCTTCTTTTTGGATCAAACTTATCTTCTTGTCCAGAGACAGAATGAAATGAGAAGAATTGGAGGATCTTTGTACAGTAACTGACTCATTTCTCCTCGGGAAAGTAGCCTTCCCACTGTTGGCATTCAGCAGATCAGCAACATAGCAGAATCTCACCATAAAGATGGAGAGTATTATGGAGTAGATTCTGCTAAAATGGTGTTTAAGGAGTCCTATACTCTTAGAGGTACTAATGTATAACTTATTCCTCCGAAGTGTACTCTGGCCAGGTTTCAATATATAATTTTTTTTTTTCTGCATGGAGAGCAGTCAATTTTGATGAAAACATAAATAAAATCTTTAAAGTTTTCAAAATTTGCTTAAGAGCCTAGGATCACAATATGAAGATGAGAGACAGAAAAAAATAGTTTCTAGTTACTCATGTGAAACAGGGGAGAAATATGCCACAAAATCTATTCACCGCAGCATGGTCCTTTTTCTAAAAAAATTAATTGTTATTTTCATTGGAGGCTAATTACTTTACAATATTGTGGTGGTTTTTGTCATGCATTGACATGAAAGTACATGGACGTACGTGTGTCCCCATCCTGAACCCCCCTCCCACCTCCCTCCCCATCCCATCCCTCTGGGTCGTCCCAGTGCACCGGCTTCGGGGCACTCAGAGCATGGTCCTTTAAAATGGTTGGGGGGAAGAATCCCTTTTGTTCTGTTCTTTTCCTCTATAAGGGTATCCCCCATGTTTCCCAGTTTAGGACTTTATTTTTTTTTTTCCAAGCCAATCCACCATGCTTTGTAAATCTGAATACACCTTGCTCCCCGTGGTCTGGACCGACTGAAAGGTCCTGGAACTTGCGTCCCTCTGGCACGGATGTGGCCTGGCTGTGTTTCCCAGCCTCGTGACCAGGAACTGAAGTCAGATTTCTGCTCAGCACCGCTCTTGCTGCTCACTGTGCTAAACTGTGACCAGGAATCGTCATGATCCCAGAGTGTTTCTAATAGAAATGAAAAGGATTAAAAGGCACTGCTGACTTTACTTATTTAAAAAGATGTCAAGTTGTATGCTTTGCTGTCAGGGAAACCATTATGTAGATTAAATGATCCAAAGGCAGTTTATTCGCTAGGCCAGGTTACATTTTATTCTATGATGTAAGGTTTAATCATAGTACTTTGAGAAGAAAAAAAAACACTCATCAGGAGGCCCCCCCTTTTTTTTGCTGATGAAAAGAAAGAAGATTTTGTTTGCCTGCAAGAAAAAGTCATAACCATGCTCTGCCAGTGTAGACCCCACTAGAATAATTCTTTTTAAGTCACACATTTTTTTATATGATACTTACCTAGTTTCTTTTTGATTCATTTTAATTGAGTTATACGTTCATACAACCCTATTGGATTTCTCCAGCATACCCTCCCTCTGGGTCATAAGGCATGTCTTCTCTAACTATATATACATCAGCTTAGACATCTGTACTCTCAACACTAATTCAACAGTCCTATGACTCATATATTGAATCCAAATTTGGAAGCAATGCCAACATGATCTCTATGAATGCACATTTTTTGTTGATTTTAAACTCAAAGTCATTTAAACATGGAAAAGAGAGTTGTATGCCTCTCTCTGTAAACAGATCCAGAAGTACCTGGTAGTGTTAAAAAAGACCTATCAGCTTGGGATCAGTATCTGCTTTCCATTATTTAAAATCACCCCATCAAAATCTTCTTTGTCCAGGAAGATGAAGTGCTAAATTATTTTTGTCTCTTGACAGATTTAGCGATGCAATTGAATCAGGGGAAATTTGAGTATAATGGATCATGCGGGTAAGTAATGTGATTTAAACTGTTGTCACCGTGTTCCACACTCTACACTACAGCTGTAATGAAACCGTGTCATTTTAAATTAGAGGTTGGTGAATTTAAGTGAGGTTTGAGGGATGGGATAGACACAAATGAAATCCCCAGGTAAGTTACATCTGCAATATACATTCTTCATCAACCACGTTTCATTAAGCAGATTAAAAAAAAAAAATTTAACCACTAGGTAAGCAGTTTATTATACACCAGAATTTAATGCTCTCACTTTAAATTCAATAGTGGAGGCCTTTATAACTAGGACAGATAATGATCCCTGCTCATTTGGACATCAGCAAGAGGGACAAAGATAGTAAATATGTGTATCTTACACAGGACAGATAAAGGAATGAAGTTGATTTAGTATGTAATGAAGTCCTCAATGTTAAGTGGAATTTATTTCAGCTAGGAAGACAGTTGTGTCCTCTATTAATTTTTTTCTTGTCTTGTAAATAGTAGTTACCAAAAATAATGCTATGAGTGTTGCTCAAGGTACTTAAATAGTGCTCCCTAAAATCTGTGAACCAAGTAGTGAAATAGGAAATGTTAATTTCACTGAAATGCTGGAAAGTTAAATGAAAAAATGAAATTGAAGAAAGTTCTATGGAAGAACTTTCTTGTAGTTCTTGTATAGGCATTCTGTACACGTTCTATACAAGAAAAAAACTGTGTGGCCATTTTTTTTTTTTCCTCCATGCAGATTTCCCCAAGTGGTACTGCAGGTAAATGATCTCAAACCATTACCCAAAGCCCTCTAGACTAATTGAGCAGAATTTCTTCCCATCACACTACTGTCAGGATGCTCTTGGCCTCCCTGGTTGGATACGTAATGTCCCATGTTGGATACTAAAAACAGCCCATCACAATAAAATTTTCAGCACTTGTGGATTCAGAATGCCAACTCCCACCTCTTCCTACACCCACAGGTGACAACCCTGTTACCCAAGTCACCCACCTTCAGCATACAGGGTATTTGCCTCTGCTGTGTGTTTTGAAGGAAATGCAAATTGTATACCTTAAACTAATGAAGTGTTATATTTCATTTAGGTTGGTGCAAAAGTAATTGAAGTTTTGCATTGCTGAACTTTGCCGTTTGATACTGGATACATTCTTAAGTAAATCCGGTTATGTTATACATCATTAATGCACATTTCTCACTGTATGTTTTTTTCCTAATGACTTATTACTTGCTGTTTATTTTATATTTATTTTAGACTATAGAAATGATGTTAGACAAAAAGCAAATTTGAGTGACTTTTTTATTCAAGTTCAAAATGTGTTGGAAAACAGTGAAGACAACTCACAACATCAACAATGCATTTGGCCCAGGAACTGCTAACGAACAAGGAGGGTGGTCGTGGTTCAGAAGTTTTGCAAAGGAGACGAGAGCAATGAGCAGCATCGTGGCTGGCCATCAGAAGTTGCCAGCGACCAACTCAGAGCAATCATCAAAGCGGATCCTCTTGCAACTACACAAGAAGTTGGCAGAAGGAAACTCGTCGACCATTCTGTGGCCATCTGACATTTGAAGCAAATTGGAAAGGTGATAGAGCTCGATCAGTGGGTACCTCAGGAGCTAACTTAAAGTTGAAAAAGATCGTTGTTTTGAAGTGTTGTCTTCTCTTTCTGTATACAATAGCGAACTCTCAATCAGATTGTGACATGCAATTAGAAGTGGATTTTATGTGACAACTGCTGACAACCAGCTCAGTGGCTGGACTGAGAGAAGCCCAGAAGCACTTCCCAAAGCCACACGTGCACCAAAAAAAGACCATGGTCACTGTTTGGTGGTCTGCTCCCCGTCTGATCCACTACAGCTTTCTGAATCCCTGCAAAACCATTACATCTGAGAAGTATGCTCAGCAAATCAATGAGATGCACTGAAAACTGCAACGTCTGCAGCCAACCCTGGTCATTAGAAAGGCCTCAGTTCTCCATGACAACGCCCGACTGCATGTCTCACAACCAATGCTTCAAAAGTTGAATGAATTGGGCTACGAAGTTTTGCCTCATCCACCATATGCATTTGACCTCTCGCCAACCAACTACCACTTCTTCAAGCATCTGAACAACTTTTGGCAGGGAAAATCCTTCCACAACCAGCAGGAGGCAGAAAATGCTTTCTAAGACTTCGTCAAATCCTGAAACATGATTTTTATGCTACAAGAATGAACAAACTTGTTTCTCATTGGCAAAAATGTGTTGATTATAATGGTTCCTACTTTGATTAATAAAGATGTGTTTGAGCCTCGTTAAAATGATTTAAAATTCGTGGTCCAAAACCATAATTACTTTTGTACCAACCTACTATCTCTCAATAAAACAGGGGAGAAAAAAAAATTAAAATTATAGTTCCAAAGAAAACAATCCAATACACATTTAGAGTATTTTTAAGCTGCCTTGTTATTTAGTGCCAAACATTGATAACCAGGAGACTGTGTACATAAATTGATGGGTGGGCCCCCAGTGGGGGCTGAGGCCCCGGGGGCAGCCGTGATGGAGGGCATAAGAGCCCTTGGCACTAGCCCGACCCAGGTCTTCCACAGGCTGATGTTACCCTGGGCAGGTAGAGGAGGCCCTGAATCTCAATTTCCTGCTGATAATATGAAGCCTGTTCAGTGAGTTTGAACCGAGTGTATGTATTTGATGTCCTTTACGAGCTAAAAATTTCTGTGGAAAAGTGAGGTTAAAGAGAAGCTCCAGCCCATATGGCTGATGACAGGCAGAGATCACAGAGCCTCTTGATCTTGTTGAAAGAGCCTCTTTTCACAGCGGTCCTGTGGGGAGCCTGGGGTGCGAGGTGGGGTGGGCAGAGCGGTCCTGTGGTCCACACCGGCTGTGACCCTCCCACAGCCTTCACCTGGCTCAGGACAGGCTTTTCACCCTCCTTAGGAGTCCAGTGGCTCCTCCTGCCTGGATACGGGGTGGGCATCGTTTCTATGGAAGAGGGGCCCCAGTGTTACTGAACCAAACTTGTCCACCTGTCCACCCTCAGCAAAGTCCGTCAGTGGTGGCTGTGCTGAAGGAACTAGCAGTGTTTGTTGTAAGGCCCCAGGCAAGAGAGCAGGTGACTCCTGTTCTAACCCCCCAGACTTCCTGCAGAATTTCAGCAAAGCATTGTTAAAAGCCAGGTGAAGCAGGTGGGATCTGTTTTATCACAGTTAACATGCTCAGCGTCTCACCTTCGGCACTGTTTACTGTAAAATCCATTCATGAACAAGGATGGTGCTATGTTAGCCTGGTTTTTCCAGTGGTCATGTACAGACGTGAGAGCTGAACCATAAAGAAGGCTGAATGCTGAAGAATTGATGTTTCTGAACTGTGGTGCTGGAAAAAACTCTTGAGAGGCCCTTGGACTACAAGGAAATCAAACCAGTCCGTCCTAAAGGAAACCAATCCTGAATATTCATTAGAAGGACTGATGTTGAAGCTGAAGCTCCAATACTTTGGCCACCTGATGTGAAGAACCGACTCATTAGAAAAGACCCTGATCCTGGAAAAGATTGAGGGCAGGAGGAGAAGGGGAAGACAGAGGATGAGATGATTGGATGGCATCACCGACTCAATGGACATGGGTTTGAGCAAGCTCCAAGAGATGGTGATGGCCAGGGAGCCCTGGTGTGCAGCAGTCCATGGGGTCACAAAGAGTCGGACACAACTGAGCGACCGAGCAACACTGGTAGCCTGGATTCTGTGCTTGTGTTTTTGAGGTAACGTGACCAAAAGCTTAAGTCCAACCAGAGGGACTGAAAAATCTGACCGCTCCCTGGGGCATCAGGACTTCAGGAGGCATGAACAATAAGTCTCCTGTCCCCTGCCCCTCCCCTTTCCTCCACACCCAGCCTGGAGGCAGACAATACTTGTAGAAACCCCTGAATCTCACAACAGTAACCAAACATCAGAAACTTACTTGGGAATCCCTGTCTGGCCTGTGGGCAGTTTGTTTAGGAGGCCACACCACTGCATCCTGTAAGTGTGATTTTTACCAGGAAGTGAGCAGTAGTTTGTTACAGACTCATTTTTAAAGATGGAAAAGCAGGAAGTACCTCTACACTTTATAATAAAACAAAATAAAGCAAACTAATTTCTCAAGCGTTTCCAGGCATGTGGAGGAAACCAGACAGTTGCTATCAAAATACTATGATATTTTATGATTCAAAGGTACACACTTTTTAAATGACTTTGTCAAGTTAGAATGAATCTTAAGATCCATGGCAACTTACAGTTAATCAGCAGCCATTTTGCTTGCTTGCTGGTAAATAAAACGAGGGCATGTAATAGCATCTCACATGTGATGAAGCAGGATGAACTTTCTTGTTCCACCATCCTCTGATTCTGTAACTCCTGTCTGTCCACCTGGCTGAAAGCCCTTCTCTCCGGCCCTTGCCTCCAAGGCCTTTGAAGTCCACAGAGAATTCTTACATCAATTCACTTGCCATCGACTTTAGACTTGCCCTGTGGCCATCACACAGACCTGGATGCTTGGAATGGGTTCATTTCCTGCACCTAAAAACACCAGGCAGGACCAGCTAGGTAGTCCGTGGGACCCAAGTGGTCCACGTTCACAAATCGTTAAGAATCAGGAGAGTAGCCGCAGAGCATGAAGCCAAGCAGGACGCTCCATGGTGGCACGAGCCCCACCCTCAGAGCCAGCTCCAGCTTCTGCATCCCCATCAGTGCCCAGGGGCCCGTGACCCACACAACCCCTAAATCGTGAGTGACAGCCTCTGCTGACTTAGGCCCAGAATGGACAATTGTTCAAGGCAAGCTGGTTAAGGGTCAGCCCCAAGCCAGGGATCCTATCTATCAAATTTCTGAGGCTAAATCCAGCCTCCGAATTGGAGTTTCAGGTGTGAAGTAGGAAAGAAGCTTTATTGCTTTGCCAAACAAAGGGGGCCACATTGGGCTAATGCCCTCAAAACTGTGTTGCAACCCAGAGTGGGTATTTAGTAGAAATGGTTCAAAGAGGGCATGACCAGCATGTGGGCATTCTTCTGACTGGTTGGTGATGAGGAAAGTGGGAGTCCACATCATCAGTTGTCTGGTTCCAGCCTGTCTGGGATCTGCGTGCTTGTCGGCAGCTTGCAGTTAATTTCTCCCACCTTGTGCGTGTTTCAGTATCTGCAAAACTGCTCGAAAGTATTTTTTTTTTTATATGAACCTGCTTTCATTTTTTTTTTCCATTTATTTTTATTAGTTGGAGGCTAATTACTTTACAACATTGCAGTGGTTTTTGTCATACATTGAAATGAATTAGCCATGGATTTACATGTATTCCCCATCCCAGTCCCCCCTCCCACCTCCCTCTCCACTCCATCCCTCTGGGTCTTCCCAGTGCACCAGGCCTGAGCACTTGTCTCATGCACCCAACCTGGGCTGGTGATCTGTTTCACCCTAGATATACATGTTTCGATATGTTTATCCCTTGAGGGGGAACCAGGACCTTGCCACAAGGCTTTTCTATTGTTTCTTGACTGCTTCTCCCTTTTCTCCGCATTCCCTCCCATCCCTAATAGGAACTGTTTGAGTCTGCTTGTTGGAACCCAATGCTGCCTCCCTGTGAAATATAGAACTATCATGCATTACCTCCCCTTGTAGCTGATGTCTGTTGCTTCACCAGACAAAGCTGGTAGGTTTCCTTGGAAAAATATGTGAAGGACTGTATTTACTCATCTACTTGCCATCCTAAATCTTGAGCTTTTGCTGTATCATATTTTTCAGTGATTAATGCTGGCCACAAAAAAGGCCCAAATCTAAAACTCTACAAACATAGAAAACAATATGTTCTATGCAGTTAGCTTTTATGTTAATATTACAGGTTATATCCTCCTGGAGACAGGTTGAATGTTCAAAGTCATCTTTAATATTTGAACAATTCTATAAAATTTCTGTATCCTTGATTTAAAAATCATTGTCATTGCTATATATGAAATAGATAATCAGTAGGAACCTACTGTATAGCCCAGGAAACTCCACTTAATTCCCTATAGTAACCTATATGGGAAAAGAATCTGAAAAAGAATATACATAAATACATAACTAAATCACTTTTCTGTACACTTGTAACTAACACAACATAAATCAGGTATATTCTAATATAAAATAAAAAATATTTAAATAAAATAAAAATCATTATTGTCCTTTATTGCTGATTACATCCAAATGGAATGTGGGTCTATTTATTAACATGTTTTGTTCAGACTTAGAAGATAGCAAAGAATGTCAGCTTTGTCAAAACCAAAAATATGGCTGTAAACTATTTTTTAAGGAAAAATATCATGCTTTGGAATTCCCCTTGGTTGCATTTTAAAGAATAGTAATAGATTTAACATCATCTAGAGTTGAAACTTATCAAAGTTATACTTTAAGGGGTATAAAAGATTTGATCCCAAATTATGATTCTTTTGCGTCTAAAAACAAACCTACAGTTGTGGAGAAAGTGCTTTTATTTTCCGCTCATGTGAAGTGAGAGTTGCTCAGTAGTATCTGACTCTTTGTGACCCCATGAACTATACAGTCCATGGAATTCTCCAGGACAGAATACTGGAGTGGGTAGCCTTTCCCTTCTCCAGAGGATCTTCCCAACCCAGGAATTCCCAACACAGGTCTCCCGCATTGCAGGCAGATTCTTTACCAACTGAGCTATCAGGGAAGCTGATACCTCATATTTTTGCTCATATTAGTATGTAATTTTCCTATCTACAATTATAATCATTTTTTTTTTTAAATGTTTTTTTGGAGAGATGGAGGTCTTTGACATAAGTTTCAGGAAAGTTATGGAATCCAGCCAGAGTGTGATTCTCTGACCATACCCAATGGGGATAAGGGGCAGACAGCGCTGAGAATCAATTGCAAGACACTTTAATCACACAAAAAAGAAAACCTATACTCTTCATCTGTCACCTTCTAACATCCCCTGCCCCATCCCAGCCTTAAGCAACCGCTAATCTACACACTGTCACTACATTTTTGCCAGTTCTGCACATTTCATGTAAATTGATTCATATAAGATGTGACCTTTTTAATGGCTGTCTTCAACATTTGCAAGGTTCACCTATGTTGTACTGTGTATCAATACTTTATTTTCTTGATTTCTTTTTATTACTGAAATAATTTTATCACTTATTATTAATTTTCCACTGTGTGGATATACCTCATCTTGGGTGTCCATTCATCTTATGCTGGAAATTTGCATTGTTCCATCTTTTGGTTGTTATGAATAATGCTACTGTGAACGTTCATGTGCAGGTTTTTGTGTGAGCATATGTTTTCACTTTTCTTGGGTATACACGTAAGAGGAGGAGCGCTGGGTCGTATGGTAACTCTGTAACTGATGAATTCTAGACTGTTTTCCACAATGGCTACATCATTTTACATTCCCACGAGCAATGTTGGGTGGGGGCTCCAATTTCTCCATCTTCTCGTCCACATTAATTTTCTTTGTTTTTAATATTGCCCTCCTAGTGTGTGTTCAGTTCAGTAGCTCAGTCGTGTCTGACTCTTTTCGACCCCATGGGCTGCAGCATACCAGGCCTCCCTGTCCATCACCAACTCGTGGAGCTTACTCAAACTCATGTCCGTTGAGTCAGTGATGCCATCCAACCATCTCATCCTCTGTCATCCCCTCCTCCTCCCGCCTACTGTGTGTAATGTTATCTTATTGTGATGCTGGCTTGAATTTCTCTCATGACAAATGATATTAAGCATCTTGAAAAGTGCTTGCTGGCCATTTGTTTATCTTATTTGGAGAACTGTCTATCAGGTCCTTTACCCGTTTTTTAACTGAGTTATTTGTACTTCATTTATTTTAGATACAAGTCTCTTATCAGATAAATGATTTGTAAATATTTTCTCCCATTCAATGATTTGTCTTTTCACTTCCATGATAATGTTCTTTGAGTGCAAAAATATGATGAAGTCAAGTTTATGTATTTTTTTTCTCTCACTGCTTGTACTTTTGAAGTTATGTCTAAGAATGCATTGTCAAATTCTGACTCACAAAGGTTTACCCATATATTTTCTTCTAAGAGTTTTATAGTTGTAGCTTTTTACAATTAGGTATTTGATGCATTTTGAGTTAATTTTTCTTTATGATGTGAAAAAAGGAAGTAATTTTACTCTTTTGCATGTGGCTATTCAGTTGACCTAGCATCATTTGTTTAAAGACTATTCTTTCCCCCACTGAGTAGCCTTGGCATCCTTGTCAAAAGTCATTTGCGTAGATGTGAAATTATTTCTGAACTCCCAATTCTGTCTCATTGATTTATATGTTGATCTTTTTTTTCTAATACCAAGTTGCTTTGGCTACTGTTGCTTTTAGAAAGTTTTGGGATTAAGAAGTATGAAACCTGCAACTTAGTTCTTCTTTATTAAGATTGTATTGAAAATTCTTGGTCTTTGAGTTTCCGTGTGAATTTGAGGATCAGCTTGTCAATTTCTATAAAGAAACCAGATGGGATTTTGATAGAGGTTGTATTGAATCTGTATAGCAATTTGAGAGTAGTGCCATCTTAACAATATTAAGTCTTCTGATCCATAAATACAAGATATCTTTCCATTCATTTAGTTCTTTTAAAATTTTCTTCAGCAGTCTTTTTTTATTTTCAAAATACATGTACTTATTTTTTTAAGTGTATTCCTAAGTATCTTATTCTTTTAGGTGCCATTCTAAATGCAATTATTTACTTAATTTTGTTTTTAGATTGTTCATTGCTTGGTGCATATAAATAAAATTGATTTTTATGTGTTGATTTTGTATCCTAGAACTCATTTATTAATTCTAATAGCTTTTTAGTGTACTCTGTAGGATTTTCTATAAACAAGATCACATTGTCTGGGAACAGAAATAGTTTTACTTCTTTCTAATCTAGATACCTTTTATTTCATCTTCTTGCCTAATTATCCTCACTAGAATTGGAGACCTCTAACTGAAACAACATTTCATTTGATCATGAAAATACATAGCAATCCATAGTAATGTTAGCGGTACCTCTGACTCTGACACCAATATAAACCACAGGTATTTTTATATTTCATTATAATTGTTAGAGATCTCTCAATATAGTTATATGATTATCGGTACTTTGAAACTATGCTAATTGTCAAACTTGCAATTAGATCCCATAATTTAATGTATTATTAAAACAATAAAGATATTTTCCATATTTTGATAACTGTGAAAGTGAAGTTGCTCAGTCATATCTGACTCTTTGTGTCTACCAGGCTTCTCTGTCCATGGGATTTTCCAGGCAAGAATACTGGAGTGGGTTGCCATTGCCTTCTCCAGGAGATCTTCCCAACCCAGGATTGAACCCAGGTCTCCCACATTGTAGGCAGATACTTTACCATCTGAGCCACCAGGGAAGATGTATAATTGGTTTTTCATTGTTATTCTTTGCATTTTATTTTGTGCGTTTAAGAGCATCAACAAGTTCCAGAGAAGATGATAGTGTCAGGAAATCATAGATGTCCTGGAGCCTGGATCTAAAGAACGTTTCCTCTTCCCTGTCCTTGTTGGGGTCATCCATAGGACAGGGTTGTTCTCTTCAAATCTTGGGATCCTCCACCTAAAAGCCTATTTCCTAAGCTCGAAATGGGGATAAAGATGTATTCAGTGTGTTGAATAGTGATTTTCTGAGTCTTTATAAAGCAACTAGTAAACTCCTTCTATGCTTTTGTCCCACCAGGTACCTTCTCAAACCAGATTTCATGAGACGGCCTGATCGAACATTTGATCCCTTCTCTGAAACACCTGTTGATGGGGTTATTGCAGCCACTTGCTCCGTGCAGGTAAGTCTCCTGCTTTCCACAGAATAATATAATAAGAGTGGATCCAGGTGGTCTTGGAAAAGCCTTAAAAAATTGCAATTAAAATATTTATTGTCAAGTTGCAAGATCTACATGTTGCTCTCAACTTTAACATTTTTTTTCTTGAGATACATTTTTTTCTACTAGTGAAATTATTAGCTACTTTTCATCAAAGACACCAGATCAAAAAGTACCCAGTGGAGAATGTGGAGCAATGGGAACTCTTGGCCATTGATGGTGGGAATGCAAAATCATACAACCACTTTGGAAAACAGTTGGGTGGTTTCTCCCAAAACTCAACATTCTCTTAACACATGATCCAGCAGTTAAACTCCTGGGTATTTACTCAAACAAATTAAAAGCTCACGTCCACATGAAAACTTACACAGGGATGTTTGCAGCAGCTTTATTCATGCTTGATAAAATTTTGAAAGCAACCAAGGTGCCACTTAGTGGGTGAATGGATAAAGAAGCAATGAATGGTATGTCCAGACAGTGGAATATTACTTAATTCTAATAAGAAATGAGCTATCAAGTCATGAAAAGACATGGATGAAACAAATAACATTCAGTTCATTTCAGTCACTCAGTCGTGTCTGACTCTTTGCGACCCCATGGACTGCAGCACACCAGACCNTGATCTTAGTTTTCTGAAAGTTTAGTTTTAAGCCAACTTTTTCACTTTCCTCTTTCACTTTCATCAAGAGTCTCTTTAGTTCTTTGCTTTCTGCCATAAGGGTGGTGTCATCTGCATATCTGAGGTTATTGATATTTCTCCCGAAATCTTGATTCCAGCTGTGCTTCATCCATCCAGTAAAATGAACATTACTAAGTGAAAAAAAAACTAGTGTGAAAAAGTAGCATACTGTTTGATTCCAACTAAATGACATTCTGAAAAAAGACAAAACTATAAAGATGGTAAAAAAAAAAAAAGAGAAAAGACCAAGAAATATGGGGAGGGATTAACAGGCAGAGTACAAAGCATTTTAGGGCAGTGAAACCATTCTGTATGATTCTATGATAATAGATACATGTCATTACATTTACATTTTTTTCCAAATCCATTAAATGTGCACCATAGTAAACTTTGAATGTAAACTATGGCTTTGGGTAATAATGAAGCATCAATATATGTTCACTGTAACAAATATGCTACTGAGATGTGAGGTAATCCATAGTGAGGGATATTGTGGATGAGGAGACAGAAGCAATATATTTTCTTATCAATTTTGCTGTAAACAGAAGCTGCTATAAAAAATAAAGCATACTAATGAAAAGATACCTGCTATATGATTACATTGATACAGAACTCTAGAAAATGCAAACTAATATAAAGTAACAGAAAACAGATCAGTAGTTTCCTCTTGACAGAAAGAAGGGATGGATTACAAAAGGGTGCAAAGGAGCTTTGGGAAGTGATGGAAATATTTGTTGCCTTAATATTGGCGACAGTTTTATAGATGTGCTCATATGTCAGAACTGATTTCATTGTACACTCTAAACATGTACAATTTATTTAATGTCAGTGATACCTGAAAAAACTGTTTCATAATGATTAGCTATTAGATAATGTGAAAAAAACTTAATAATTAGCTATAATTATTTGGAAATATGTGAAAAAAGTCTTTCCATAGCTTTATAATAGATAGAAGAGGGAAATATATATGACTTATACAAAAAATAGTTGTCCACAGCATCTTAACCTAAGTGCCCACACCTGTGAAATAAAGCAGTCAATACTGCTTTTTTAATACTGGTCTTAAAAAAAAAATAACACTGTCCTCTCTGTCAGTTGTCAATGTCAGTTTAGCATTTTAGTGTTACTTTTCTCTGTGTGTGTCTCTTTGTAAGACTTCTGAAAGAATTCAATAAAAGTGAATTTTGGAACTATGAAAGGATCTTAAGGCATATTTGGATTGACTGCTTCAGTTTAATAAGGAATGAATACATTATTTCCAGCAATAATCGAATTTCTGAAGATGAACAGAGACTCTCTCCCTGCCAGATTATTTTGTTACTGATGATTACACCAGCTTAACTTCTCTTCCTCCCATTTCTCTTCTGCTCCAGGTTATATCAGGTCAGTTCTTATCAGATAAGAAAATCGGCACATATGTAGAAGTGGATATGTATGGGTTGCCCACGGACACTATCCGAAAGGAATTCCGCACTCGCATGGTGATGAACAATGGACTCAATCCAGTTTACAATGAAGAATCATTTGTGTTTCGGAAGGTAGAGTGTTTTCCATGTGTCAGACTTGCTGCGCCACATGCTAGGGGCCACATGTTAGTGTAGAGAGGCTCCACGATCTGCAGATAGTCATTTAACCCGGCGCCTTCTTCCAGTGCAGATGTTCTGCAGCTGTCACGCAATGATGGTTTCTCTGTGTCCCTGTCCTCTCGGCTCTCCTTCCTCCCAGGAGGAGCCCGCCTTCCCCACAGCGGTGCCCGAGCTCTGGGTTCGCAGTGTTCTCAGAGGGAGTCCCCAGGTAGACACCGTCCCATGTGGGAGAGCTCCTCCCTGCCCTGGCCGCTAGCGCCCTGCAGTGTTCCTTTGGCCAAGAGGATGGGTAGGATGTTGCACCAATAAATGTCCTTCAGTGGGTCAGTTGGTATTGTCCTGTGCCTCCAGAAAGTGTGGTCCCCATTGCTACTCACAGGTCCTGTGTATAATATGTTATTTTTGTTTTTTGGTTTTTATCTTCATATTATACTTTGATCCTATGGGCTTCCCCAGTGACCCAATGGTAAAGAACCTGCCTGCAATGCAGGAGACACAGGTTCAGTTCCTGGGTCAGGAAGAGCCTCTGGAGGAGGGTATAGCAACCCACTCCAATGTTCTTGCCAAGAACATCCCGTGGACAGAGGAACCTGGCAGGTCACAGACTCAACCACGGCTGAAGCGCCTGAGCACACAGACAAATCAGTCATTCTCTATAATGATGCAGGTTTTAATCTTGTAACTGTTTTCTCCCATTTGTTTCTCTTTCATTGATGGCAGATGTATTGAAAAATCCATGCCCTGGCAGTCCTTTCTCAGAAATGCCTGTTTCTCTCTCACTTGTCCTGTGATCATGACCAGAGTGCTTTCTTCCTTCTTCTTTGGCACAGGTTTTCCAAGTGTCTATTCCGTTTGTGTCTTACAACACAGACGATCATCTTTTTATCTTAACAAAAATATGAATTGTCAGCCTCAGAACTGGCTGACCAGTTTGCAGAATGCATATTACAGAAGATCAATATAGGTCAATGAATCAAGCCATTTTAAGATGTAGGCTTTTCCAATTATGTGAATCCCATTATCCATGCGACACCCTCCCCCTACCTTTTCACCTTCTCTTCTACAATCAGCGTGTAGTGTGAGTTGCACACAGCTGTGTGTCTTTTTTCCTTCCTGGGTTTTTCAGTTTCTTACAGCTGGATCTGTTGTCACTATGCCCAGTGTTTTGCGCAAAGACAAATAATCCCTACCTACATTTCTGGAAATTCAGAAAGTTGATTTCAGGCTCTGTTTTTGATGCATAGGGAAATACACTTGCTTTTTACATGCAATATTACTGGCCCCAGAAACAAGATGCCAATTTTAGATCCTTTCCTGCTCTTCTGAAGTTACCTTGCCTTTCATTGATACCAGCTGCTTTAACTTTATTTTCTTTCTTGCTGTTACTGTTTTGGTTCTTTGCATGAATCTCACAGCATAAGCCCCATTCACCAAATGACGAACAACACAGTGACTAAAGTTGGTTTCACCTTTTCATCTTCATGAACTGGAACTAAATTATAACCTCTAGGCATAAATAAGCAGGCAATTCATTGCCTAGCTTTAGACATAGTGCTCAAATCAGCTAAGGTGTCTTAGTTGCTCATAGCCAATAAACAGAAATTCTTGATTAAAAACATCAGATTTTCTTCTGTCATGTTGCTGTTTTATATCTAAATAGGGTTTCTGCTCTCTGAGCTCAGATGTTGTGTCCATGTATTCGGTTTGAGGATGGCAAGAGTAGGTGTCTTGTGCTGTGTGTGCTCAACCACTGAGTCGTGTCTGACTCTTTGTGACCCCATGGTCTGTAGACTGCTGGGCTCCTGTGTCCATGGAATTTTCCAGGCAAGAATACTGGAGCAGGTTGCCATTTCCTTCTCCAGGGCATCTTTCTGACCCAAGGATCAAACCCACGTCTCTTGAGTCTCCTGCATTGATAGGCAGATTCTTCACTACTATGCCACCTGGGAAGACTCGATGTCCTGGGTATATGTTAATGTTTCTAGCTGTCCCATCTTTATTTAATATCCCAAAATGTGTTAAAAACTGAGGAGCGCAAAGAAAAATAATACAAATTTATATATAAATTGTCTTTTATACATGAGGCATTTCTTCAAAGATACTTTCCATAGTCTCAAACACAGAGCTCGATGTCAGAAGCAGCCCAGTAGTAGACAGATCAAAGGATTTGAAATCAGGTAGCCCAGGATCTAGACCCAGCTGTCACTGACCATCTTTGACGTAAGGGAAAGTCACATTTCCTCTCCAGGTCTCTTGTAGCTCACCCATTATGTAGGTGGGAATGGGGAATGATGGCAAGGGTTGGATTAGCCATCTTTATATCCATTCATTCCATCTAAAATTTTCAGGGAGTGATTTCTAGGAAACCTGTTCCCATTGTCTTTCTCAGTGTTGTGGGCACTGTAACTTATACAGTATGCTTTAGGAGTGTGAGTTGACCATCAGCTCATTTGCACCATAAAGGAACCTTCCCGAGCAGTATGAGCATGGTCCAGACTCCTGGCGTTGTGATTCTTGGGAGCTGTGTTCCACAGATCAGTGCCAAGTGTCGTTGTGTGTCTGCAGGTGATCCTCCCCGACCTGGCTGTCTTGAGGATCGCTGTGTATGATGACAACAACAAGCTGATAGGCCAGAGGATTCTGCCCCTGGACGGCCTCCAAGCAGGCTATCGACACGTATCCCTCCGAAATGAGGGCAATAAACCTTTATCGCTGCCAACCATTTTCTGCAATATTGTCCTAAAAACATATGTGCCTGATGGATTCGGAGGTAAGTCAAACTTTTAGGTACAGAATATTTTTGTGTGTGTGTTTTTCCCCTAAATTTCAAGATTATAAGCTATTTCACCAATGGTTAAAAAAAAAGTCTCTTCCCGCCAATGCTGCCAACCTGTAGGCTTAAAGAAATTAGGCATAAAGAGTTACCTCAGGTTTCCTAGCAGGAAATGAAAAGGCAAGTCTAGATTACCTTTAAAGTTCTTTATTTAAAAATACTGTCATTTTGTGTTTTTTCAGTTTTCACATGTTTCACATATATGTCTGTGAAGAATGCATTTCTACCATCATTCAAAGGAGGAAAGGTGTGAATAATGTAGAGCCATAGACATCAGTTAGTTTCACTAAAAGGTTTAAATTGAACTCCATTATCAACATTCCTGGACTTTCCCCCAAAATCTGCAGGGGAGTTCAATTTCACAAAAAATTCCCAGTCATCAGTCCATGAAAGACCACCTTCGGTTACACCAAAGACATCAATGAAAGTGAAAGTGAAAATTGCTCCGTAATGTCTGACTCTTTGTGACCCCATGGACTTCTCCATGTGACCCCATGGGCCCCATGGAATTCTCCAGGCCAGAATACTGGAGTGGGTACCCTTTCTCTTCTCCAGGGGATCTTCCCAACCAGGGATCGAACCCAGGTCTCCCTCATTGTAGGCAGATTCTTTACCAGCTGAGCCCCCAGGGAAGTCCAAGAATACTAGAATGCTTTAACTTTAAGATCCCTTCTCCAGCAGATCTTCCCAACCCAGGAATTGAACAGGGGTCTCCTGCAATACAGGCGGATTCTTTACCAACTGAACTATCAGGGAAGCCCAAAGTCATCAATGGGAGGAATCAAAAGTTGGACAAAGTCTTAAAGTGAAAATGAAAGTCACTCAGTCATGTCTGACTCTTTGCAACCCCATGGACAGTAGTCCATGGAATTCTCCAGGCAAGAATACTGGAGTGGGTGTCCTTTCCCTTTTCCAGGGGATTTTCCCAACCCAGAGATCGAACCCAGGTCTGCCACATTGCAGGCGGATTCTTTACCAGCTGAGCCACAAGAGAAGCCCAAGAATACTGGAGTGCTTTAACTTAAGATCCCTTCTCCAGCAGATCTTCCCAACCCAGGGATTCGGATTCTTTACCAGCTGAGCCACAAGAGAAGCCCAAGAATACTGGAGTGCTTTAACTTAAGATCCCTTCTCCAGCAGATCTTCCCAACCCAGGGTTTGAACCCAGGTATCCCACATTGCAGGCAGATTCTTTACCAACTGAGCTCTGAGGGAAGCCCCAAGTCATAGGATTCTGGTAAACCCACATATTAACTTTTTATAACCCCCAACTGAGCCAAGAACATTAAAGGAAAACAAAGATCCTCCATATTCTCAGAGTGCATTGAATCTTAAAGAAACAATAGTACACCAAAGTATATCAAATTAACAAGGGTTCAAGTCCTGACTCTCCACTGCTAGCCAGGTGACCTTGAGATAGTGTTATCGCCTGTCATCACCCCCCCACCCCATATTCTGGCCTGTAAAGGTACTAATACTGTTTCCCTCACAGCATCCTCATAATGTGTGCTTATGTGTGTGTACAGGTGTGTGTGGCTCTAAATGCAGCTCAGTTTCTGTACTATACTGGTTTGGGGAGCTTTGGGTTATTTTGTTTTGTGTTTTTAATAATGCAGTCTTCTCTGGAGGACAGAGTTTCTACAACTAATATTCAGAATTAACAACACAGTTGTGGGTTCCAAAAGTAAAGTCAGCCATGAGGATTTTTCAATTGCAAAATTGAGAGTAAAGATTCCTTCCTCCTTCCCTTTGTCTTTTCTTAAAAAAGGAAGCTTATTACAGGTTATAACACAGAGTAACAGTTATGAGCACGTGGCAGAGGCTGGGATGGGGTGCTGTGGGCTGGGTGAGCAGGACAGAAAAGAGACATGGGACCTGCGTGGGTGTTGAGCAGCATGTGATGGCCACGGGGCATCAGCAGATGGATTCAGTCTTCTTCCACATATTTGCACTTAGAAAGCAGTGGTGCGTAATACCTAGTACATTTTAAAAATAGTTATATAAATAAATGGAAGACTTAAAGGTTTTGCTTTTACACATGTTACTTTTCAAATGAAACTCTAATTCATTCTAGGGAAATGGGATATTGGAATAAAAAAGGGAAAGAGAACAGTTTTTTGAGCTCCTGCTTTGTGCCAAGTGCTTTACAAAAATGGAGTCCAGAAATGTGAAATTGTTCAGAATGGATGTGAGCATATACAGGTGTATCTGTGTTTAGCATGTAGTTTATGGCTAGTGTCAATATTTATAAGTATTGATTCACATCTTTAAAAATAGTCTTGTAATTATTCTTTCCTAAAGTGTCATTGTAGTATTTCTCTCTGAAGATACTGAAATTTCTGTACTACATTATCTTTGATGGAATTCTGCAGTTGATGTCTTAACCTCAGATTTGATGACAGATTCAAAAACTGTTTATTCAGAATTCTCTGGCCATTTCTCACGTATGTGAAGAAACCAAGGACAGACATTCTGAGGGTTTATTTAAGGCACTTACCTGAAAATAAAAATATGAGAACTTTTTCCAAATGTCCAGTCTTCTTAACAGCCTCTTGATTCCCACAGTGTGTTTATATTTCATGTGCTTAACTAACCTACCACATTCATGTCTGAACATTTATGTGCTGAACAAGCATGCCAGGCGGTCAGTAGACCCCCTGTTCCCTAGAACATTTTCAGTCTTTGCTGATTCTATAAGAAAAAGTTCAAAATGAAATTCTGCACCATTGCACTTCAGCAGTTTCTGGGGGAAAAAAAAGAAAGTGGTCAATAAATATCTCCAGATTTTTATGTAGATACAGAAAGAAAATATGGATGCCTTCATTTATTCTACTAATGTGTTTAGCAGGTTTTATTCTGTAAAAAGCAATGTAGCTACATATCAGAAAAAAATTCTGATGACATAAAAAATTTTAAAAGGGTCATTCATCCAATGCCCAGAATGAACCCTATTAACTTATAGGTCTCTACTTCCTATCTCATTATTCTCTTTACTTTTTAAAAAAAATTGGATCTTACTGTGGTGTCTCATTTACATTCATATTTAAGAGGGAATTTTTTTCATTATTTTTAGAGTATTTTCCCCATTTCTTGACATATTTTTATTGTCTGCTTGAGATTCCATTTTATGTATGCTATAATTTATCATGTTATTAATGTATTGAAGTCAATTCTACTTTTCTTTCTTATGAACAGTATTGCATCTAAGAACCCTAAATGTAAAACTTTGGGAATATTAGTGATTATTTCCTACAGATGAATTCTTTCAAGTGGATTTGTTGCATCAAGAAGTGTATATGTATTTAAAGGTCTAGATTGTTGTTGTTTTTCAGGTACTAAATTGTGACGACTCTTCGTGACCCTATGGGTTGCAGCCTGCCAGGCTCCTCTGTCCTCCGCCATCTCCCAGAGTTTGTTCAAATGCACATCAGTGAAGTTATCTACCATCTCATCCCCTGCCACCCGCTTCTCCTGTTGCCTTCCATCTTTTCCAGCATCAAGGACTTTTCCAGCGAGTCAGCTCTATGCATCAGGTGGCCAAAGAATTGGAGCATCAGCTTTAGCATCTGTCCTTCCAATGAATATTCAGGGTTGATTTCCTTTAGGATTAACTGGTTTGATTTCCTTGCAGTTCAAGGGACTCTGAAGAATCATCTCCAGCACCATAATTTGAAACCATCAGTTCTTCAGCACTCAGCCTTCTTTATAGTCTGACTCATATCCATACATGTCTGCTGGTAAAACAATACTTTGATTATATGGACCTTTGTCAGCAAAGTGATGTCTGCTTTTTAATACTCTGTCCAGGTTTGTCATAGCTTTGCTTCCAAGAAGCAAGCAAGCATCTTTTAATTTCATGGCTACAGTCACTGTCTGCAGTGATTTTGGAGTTCAAGAAAATGAAATCTGTCACTGCTTCCACTTTTTCCCTATCTATTTGCCATGAAGTGATGGGACTGGATGCCATGATCTTAGTTTTTTGAATGTTGAGTTTTAAGCCAGCTTTATTCCCCACTTCTTTCCAACTCATTGAGAGGCTCTTTATTTCCTCTTTACTTTCTGCCGTTAGAATGGTATCATCTGCATATCTGAGGTTGTTGATATGGCTCTTGGCAATCTTGATTCCAGTTTGTGATTCATCCAGCCTGGCATTTTGCATGATGTACTCTGCATAGNCATGTATACAGTCATCTCTTGTGTTGTTGGAAGAGGGTGTTTGCTATGACCAGCATGTTCTCTTGACAAAACTCTGTTAACCTTTGCCCTGCTTCATTTTGTACTCCAAGGCCAAACTTGCCTGTTCCTCTGGGTATCTCTTGACTTCATGCTTTTGCTTTCCAGTCCCCTATGATGAAAAGGGCATCTTTTTGGGTGTTAGTTCTAGAAAGTGTGTAGGTCTTTATAGAACCAGTCAACTTCAGCTTCTTCAGCATCAGTGGTGGGACCATAGACTTGGAGTACTGTGATGTTGAATGGTTTGCCTTGGAAAGGAACTGAGATCATCCTGTCATTTTTTAGTTTGCACCAAAGTACTGCATTTCAGACTCTTTTGTTGACTGTGATGGCTACTCCATTTCCTCTAAGAGATTCTTGCCCACAGTAGTAGTTATAATGGTCATCTGAATTAAATTCACCCATTCCAGTTGATTTTTGTTCACCAAGTCCTTAAGGTATCAATGTTCAATCTTGCCATGTCCTGCTTAACCATGTACAATTTACCTTGATTCATGGACCTAACATTCCAGGTTCCTATGTAATATTGTTCTTCACAGCTTTAGACTTGACTTTTACCACCAGCCACATCCACAACTGAGCATTATTTCCACTTTGGCCCAGGCACTTCATTCTTTCTGGAGCTATTAGTAATAGCCTCTGCTCTTCCCCAGTGGCACATTGGACACCTTCTAACCTGGGGAGCTCATCTTCCAGTGTCATGT